TAATATTTAAAAGAATATCAGTAATCTGCAAGCTGTCAAAGTAAATATTGCAGTTCATCTTTAAGCTACTCCTATCATCTCCCTGTATCAGTTGACCATTTCCTTTATCGTCAAATCTTTTGCCTTTAATTTATATAACATCCATTAGTGTTCCATTCTGCCTCTGAAGTTACTCTTTCACATTCTTTCTATGTTATTTTCTTCTCCTCTATTTTCTTTACAATATTCTCTGTCCTCTGTCTTGCATTTTCTGTTCTTCTTACTGTATTTTTTTAAATCATCTTCTCCTTCTTAAATTTCATCCCTTTGTATGAGTTTAAATATCACCCATAGCATATGATACCACATTTAAATAACTAGATATTATAACACTGCTCACCGCTTATAAGCAAAATTTCACTGCCTACACAAGCCAAAGTGAACAATTCATATGAGACTTTTCTTTCTCCCTCATCCCCTATCATCATCAGTCAATCATTAGCAAATCTTGTTGATCCTATTTCCAAAATGCATTTGAATGTCTTCAATTAAATTATATAAATACTATCTTTTGAGATTAGTTTAATTAGTTCAACTCTACTTATTGTAAGTTCTGAATTATTTTTAAATGTATTGTAGTTTATTTTCTGAAAAAAGGCTTTTTTCTGTGTGCATGCCAGTAATGGGGCTTAAACTCTGGGTCTAAATATCTCATGGGGCTTTTTCTGCTCACATGCATGGCTTGTTCTGCTTGTTCTCACATTTTGCTGGTTAATTTGAGCTACAGTCTTTCAAGGAGTACTAAAATAACCTAGACTTCTTTTATTTCTTTCATTCCCTCACCTGTTAGCCTTTCTTTAGCTACATAGCTTCCTTCCAATCTTAAGTGTAAAATTGGACTGGGCATAAAAAGAAAACTGGAAGCATGATATTGTATAGTACCAATACAACCTATCTGAGTTGTTCATCCTGGATCACATCCAAAGGATATTTGTTATTCAACTATCTGAAATACCCTAAAATAGTATTATAGAATGAACACTAAACAATATAGGACATATTTCAATTACAATTAATTTATGTGATTAAAAATTATAAGAAGGATATTTATGTACATTTTAGCCAGTAATATTGAAATGCCCACTCTTCAAAGACCACTGGAGACCACCAGAGTCTCACACTGGAACTGCAAAATGCAAGGTTTATTCAGAACAAGCCTAGGCTGGGGCCTTGTCCCACACACTCTGACACAGCACAGGGAGGGAGGAGACCCCAAGCGACATTCCAGCAGAGTTTATAAAGGCAAAAACCACAAGGTGACAAAAAGATACATTATCCAGGTGTTCAAACAGAATTACATGTGAATACAAATCTGATTGGCTCGGGGCTAGGGATAACATTCCAGGGTGGTTAGGTCCGCAGGGGGGTTACAGAACCGGATGGGTCATCTGAGTGGGGAGGTAGTTAGGGCCTGATGGTTTCAGTATAATCAACCTCTTTCTGCGAAGCTTCTGGTCAATTTCAACACAATTACAGTTTTCAGAAACATCTTGGGCAGCAGGGCTTAGAACAAAGGCATAAAGTTAATCATGAAATGTCGCCTGAGCAAGATAGAGTTACTCTTGTTCTCTCAATATATGTGTGTGTGTGTATATATATATGTATATATATGTATATACATATAAACATAAATGTTATTGTTGTTGTTAGTTGAGGGGCTTGAATTCAGAGCCTGGGCGCTGTCTCTGAGCTTTTTTGTTCAAGGCTAGTGCTCTACCACATTGATCCACATACAACAACACTACTGGTTTTTGAGTAGTTAATCGGAGGTAAGAGTCTCACAGGGACTTTTCTACCCTGGCTGGCTTCAAACCCTGATCCTCAGATCTCAGGCTCCTGAGTAGCTAGGATTACAGATGTGAGCCACCTACGCCTGGCTAGTAATAATTTTTATTCAATATATAAATACTTGGAAAGAGTATTTCTTTTTGTTCTTGTTTTTTTGTTGTTGTTGTTGGTCGTGGGGCTTGAACTCTGGGCCTAGGCGCTGTCCCTCAAGCTCTTCAGCTCAAGGCGAGCGCTCTACCACTTGAGCTACAGCGCCACTTCCTGGAAAGAGTATTTCTAATAAAATCTTCTCAATCACGGTATATCAATAGTTGTTTATGAATTTTTTGTTTTTATAATACAAAACTACATTAAATGATATAATCTAATATTTATTTGGAAGTTTTATTTATCTTGATAATTTCTGTATTTATAATACTTTATTGGAATTTGGTGTGCTTTTCAGTCAAGTCTTCCCATTACAATATTTTCTTTAGAACAAAAAATATTTTAATAGATTTTTTTAGTGTATGTATTACAGTAATGTTTTTGGATTAGTCATATTAGGCTTTATTTGCTTGTTTCTTGTCTTTGCTGTGTAAACAAACTTAGTGTTAGGTTTTTAAAAAGAGGTAGCCGAGTAAGAACAGCAGCACTCAGGTGGTATTCAGGTAAGGGGTAGGTTTATTCAGTAGACCTGCTGGGACCAGGCAAGGTTGGCACTCCACGTGGCTGGGAAAGAGAGAGGAAAGAGAGAGAGAGGAAAGAGAGAAAAGAGCTAGAAAAGAGCAGAGAGAGTAAGAAAAGAACAGAGAGCTAGAAAAGAGCAGCGAGAGAGCGTCTGGGCCTGGGCTAGGCCTTATCTAGGGTATGGGCGGAGAAGGGTGTGGCCACATCAAATTCAGTTGTGACCTCAGCAGATCCAGATGTCACCTCTTCCAGGTGTCCCAGTTGCCTAGGTAACGCAGGTATGGGGTGGAAACTTTGCTGAGAGGAGAGTGGAGTCTGCTCGCCATCCAGGAGCGGACCTTACACTTAGCATTGCTATTTTTCTTTTTCTTTTGTTTCTTTCCAACAACAGTCTTTTTTTTTTTTTTATTGTGAAAATACTGTACAAAGGGGGTACAATTACATGGGCAAGATAATGAGTACATTTCATATCAAGCATTGTAGCCTCCTCCTTTGTTTCCCCTTCCCATCCCTTCACATCCTCCCCCTCCACCCATTCCTCCCCTCTTCTCCCCCCCCCTCCCCCCCCTCGCCCCCACCAAAGTTGTAAAGTTCGTTTTTGACATAATGACCTGTACATATCAGTGTTGCAATGGGTCCACCTGTATCCCTATTTAAATGATTTGTTTTTCCCCTTCCTCTCCACAAATTATACTGACACCAAATACAGTGAAAGCAGGGGTTATACTGTGGGGGAGGGACATACAAAGCAACAAAGAAATCATCTTATAAATGTGTTAGAAACAGTCTCATGAAAGAAAAAATAAAACATTTGAATACACATCTTAGGGTTCATTTCCCTAACATCACCTTATCTGACCTTTTCTGCTTGACTCAGACATATACTAGATATTACTATTTTTCTATGCAATAAAAAGAGATTGAAAGTTTATAATCATTTGAAGTCTTTGAAAGTTGGTAATGGGATCAGCTTTCCTGTAAAAATTGATATGTTAGTTTTATAAAGAAAAAACCTAATTTTTCCAAATAACATCTTGCTTTTTATATACATGATTTGTCTTCAATTAAATTATATGTTATCTCTTGAGATTAGTTTAAATAGTTCATCTCTACTTATTTTAGGCTCTAAATTATTTTTTCTTTTTTGTCATGGGGCTTGAAGTCTGGGCATGGGCGCTGTCCCTCAGCAATTCAACTCAAGGAGAATGCTCTACCACTTGAGCCACAGCACCACTTCCGGTTTTCTAGTGCTTTATTGGAGATAAGAGTCTCATGGACTTTCCTGCTCGGGCTGGTTTTGAACCGTGATCCTCAGATCTCAGCCTCCTGAGTAGCTAGGATTACAGGCGTGAGCCACGTGCACCCGGCTCTGAATTATTTTTAAATGTATTGAAACTATTTTCTGAAAAAGGCCTTTGTGTGTGTGTGTGTGTGTTTGAGTGTGTGTGTATGTGTGTGTGTGTGTGTGTATGTGTGTATGTGTGTGTGTGCGCGCCAGTGATGGGGCTTGAACTCTGGGTCTAAATGTCTCATGGGGCTTTTTCTGTTCACACCTCTAGCCTCACATTTTGCTTGTTAATTTGAGCTACAGTCTCAGATTTTTCTATCCAGGCTAGTTTTCAACCTTCATCTTCAAATCTCAACCTTCTGAATCACTCATATTATAAGCATGAGCCACAGTACCTCAAAGTGCTATGTTTTCAAAGAAGAAAATTCACTGGTGGTATGTGCATATAATCACAGCAATGCAGGGTCATGTGTTCAAGGCCAGTCTGGACAACATGGTAAGATACACATAAAAAGTTAAAGCAAATAAGACAATTCAGTGACTTTCCATTCTTCCTTGGAAAAATATCTTAATTTTTATTATGATACCTCCAGAAATATTAAAACAAATGTTGGTGAAAAGAAAATGATTGCAGGAATTAGTAAAGACAAAACTCAGATTTATATTTTGTCAAAGAGATAACAAGTAGATTTTTTTTAATAGCCAGCCATCATGGTAGGTTGGTAGCTCATCCCTTCTTAGAATTGCATTATGAAGGTTAGCATGAATACTAATGAATACATTCTGAGTCTTTAATTTAGGTAATAATTTTGGAATCACACACAAAGAAAAACAGGAGTTATTTTTAAGTAGAGAGACTGTTTGCACAGTTTTGGAAACAGATCAATAAAATTGACCTTGAATTTTTTCATTTACATTGTTTCATTAGGGACAATTTCAGGACAGTCAAGATCTGTTGTAGTAGCCACTTTTGAAATTATTTTTAAGAGAGATGAAAACATGCAGGAAGACTGCTTTTTGTTAGAGTTTCAGGCTTGAATTCTTTTTTTTGAGTTTTTGTTTCATGTATTCATTTTTTTTGTCTATCTTCAATACTTCAATGATAAACACATTTTTTAAATAAAATAATTTATTTCTCTGTTATTTTGAACTATGAGTTTCCAGATGAAACTTGAGTCTTTTTTTTTTAAACAGTTGTACATTCCCTTATTTTTAGGAGGTTTTATGAAGATGGAGCAATTGTGCTAGGTGAAGAAGCTAATATGCTTGCTGGCATGCTGCTGGGACTTAATGCCATTGATTTCAGGTACCTATATCTAGCCAAATAAATTCAAATGTTCAATTACTGTGTTTCATAATAGTTTCTACTTATGTTCTTCTTGTTTTCTAAATAAAGTATACAATGGATATTAATGTGTGGTTTAGATTGTTCACTTTCAAATTAATTGAGTTTAATGAATTTGAACATTATTTTAATTAACTGAGAGTAAATGAATTTGATCTGAGAAAAGAGATTGTCTCAGACTTAAAGAAGTGACAAGCTTGCTGTGTAACTTAAGTCAAAGGAAAAATTAAACTACCTTCCCCTAAGCAATACCCTGCTGGCCTGAAAGAAAATTTTAGATATTATCTTTAAGCATTTTTAGCTTCTTCTTTAAAATGAAAATTCTAAAGAAGAAAAGCTTATCTTCTTATGTGCTGAGATAAAGAAGAATCTAGTGCCATATATTGGTGCTTTTATTTTTGTGTCATCTACATTTATTATGAACAAAACAAATTTTTTCCAGTCTAAGGTAACAAGAGCCAAGAATGATTATGAGCTCTTTTTAGATTTATAAAAGCATCATTTCTCATTTCTCAGATTATATATTAAATATAAATAGTTTCCTTATGAGAAAACTCACTCAGATTGAAGGAAGAATATTTTTATTTGAAATTCAAGAATATTAATAAATTAAACTTAAATAACTTCTCACTTAAGGTACCTTCTACTATACCAATACTTTTTTTTTTTTTTTTTTTTGGGTCCAGTCGTGAGGCCTGAAGTGTAGGCCTGGGTGCTATCCCTCAGCTCTTCAGCTTAAGGCTAGCACTCTACCACTTGAGCCACAGTGCCACTTCCGGCTTTTTTCTTTTTTGCTTATGTGGTGCTGAGGAATCAAACCCAGGGCCTCAGGCATGCAAGGCAAGCTCTCTACCACTGAGCCACCTCTTTTGGCACCTACCATTTCTTTTTTAAAGTGTTTGCCACCATGAGTTTCATTTTTCTCTATAATTCAATAATTCTCTATTTATAATTATAATTTTAAATAAATGAGTACTAATGTTTTAAGATGAATATGACAGAACATGGAACTTGTCTCTTAATTCCTATAAAGATACTATTATGGGCTGGGATGGTGGCTCAGTGGTAGAGCGCTTGCCTTGCATGCCTGAGGCCCTGGGTTTGATTCCTCAGCACCACATAAGCAAAAAAAAAAAAAGCTGAAAGTGGCACTGTGGCTCAAGTGGTAGAGTGCTAGCCTTGAGCTGAAGAGCTGAAGGACAGCGCCCAGGCCCAGAGTTCAGGCCCCATGACTGGATCCAAAAAAAAAAAAAAAGCCAGAATGTTCTGGCATTATCTTTGGCTTTATGCATTTGCTTATTGATAACAAAACAAAACACAGGAAGCCAGGTATGGTGGTACATTTCTGTAATCCCAGCATTTAAGAAATTGAAGATTGCAAGTTCAAAGCCAACCAGTTCTACAAAGCAAATCAAGACCAGCCTCACACTCACTGGGAGAGATCATGTCTCAAAAAGAGAAAAAAAAACTGGGATAAGAATGTTAACTATTTATTTAATTATTCATTTATTATAATCTATTGATAGTGTATATAATCCAGTAAAAGCAAATACCAAGTCCCTCAATATTTTCCCTGTTTGCATCATCATCTCACAAAAATTGAAAATGGAGATTAGATGATTTTCAGCATCTTTCTGGATGTATCTGAGATCAAGCCTTTTCACTTATTCAGGTAGTTTAGGGTGCTCTCCCACCTGAGGCATACTTCCCAAAATAGCATTCTTTCTAGTTAGTTGCAGATAGAGTGTCAAAGATTTTCTTTGTGAGCTAGCTTAGAACTGTGATCCTCTACGTCTCACATTCCTAAATAAGCTAAGATTTTGGGCATGAGCCATTGGCACCCAGCTGAAAAACTTGATTTCAGTCCGATCTTTTTGGGAGATACACAGTATCACTTGAAATGTTTTGTCTGAATATGAAAAACATCTTCATTTGAAAATTCTCTAGTGATGTCTTGAAAGTGCAATGAAGATCAAGACACTAGCAACTCAAACAAGGATTGAATAGATTTCTCAGTAAATTTCACTCTTGCTTTGTGAAACCTTATGTAAAAATGTCATTTATATTGAAGATAGGGATATTTTAAGTATTTATTTGTAACAAATAGGTAGCAAATTGTAAAGAAAAAAATCCAGTTTGAGGAAAGAAATTTCTTTAGGAAGATATTGCTTATAAAGCTTAAATTTTACTTAAAAATTGTATTTTAATATGGAGTATTTAAATTCTGTCATCTTAGTTTCTGCCTAAAGGGAGAGGGACTGGATGGTACCTTTCCTGCTGTGATAGACTATACACCATATTTGAAGTTCGAACAAAGGTATTTGTGATTTTCATGTTTCTGAAATCTTAATTATAATTGAGTGTCTTACTGTGCAGTTCTCATCTGTTTTAAACTATTTTTACCCAACATTTCTTTCAGTGTCATAAATCACTAGAGTACAAATTCCAACTGCATTTTAATATTTTATGTAAATACACACATTTTATATAGTTGCAATTTGAATACATAGTTTTTATATGATGAAACATTTATCTTATTATGGTCAATATAGAATAATAGTCTACTGAAAATTTAAAAGTATAATTCTCTTGTTTTCTGTTTTATATCTATTCTAAAGGATGAGTATCCTTTTACAAATTAATTCCACTTTTGTCTCTGTTGTAATTTTCATTTATTTCAGATAAATTCAATGAAAATTTTGATGAGTCTTCAAAAGTATTTACAAAAGAATCCAGTTTGTCTTACCACTAGTGTTTTTTTGAGAATTTTAGACTTCCTACAACCTTATCACCAATTAAAAATTAATCAAATATAAAAACTAAGGTCTACTTGAAAATTTGATCTCCTGAAATTGTACATAAAATCTTTATGTATTTCTAAAATGTTATAATCAAACCAGAGCTATAAGTTACAGCATGTTTATTTGTGTATATATGAATTGTATGTATGTAAATACTGGTCATTAGACACATACATTAGTGATGAGTTTATTAAACATATAGATTAATATAGAAAAGACATTTTCTAGATGCCAGGGATATAGATGTTAAAATATAGAAGACCTTTAAGAACTTCTGAAAGAGCACAGTCTTTGTCTCCAAGATAACCAATACCTAGCCTGAGAAGTCACGAATGTTTTAAAGCTAGGAACTGAAGACATTTTGGATGGTGATGGATAAGGAAGAATATTGTACTAGAACACCAAGCCGGGAATAAAGGAGTAAGGGATGTGTTAAAACTTTCAAAAGGACAACCCTAGTGAATTACTTCCTCCAGTGACCTAGTTGCTCCGTCCAGACTCCACCCCTAAAGTTTCCACTACTTCCCCAAACCATAGTTGAGGCCAAACATTCTTCAACACATGAATTTAGGAGGGTTGCTTCAAACTTACAATGTAGAACAGGCTGCCCTTGCCCTTGAAATATTCCCATCATATCTCCTGAGTCCTGGAAGTGTAAGCATATGCCACAACTTACTAACTTTTAAACGTAATGGTATCTTTAACATTCATTCAACTAAATATTTTATTTAAGTATGATTATTTCCTAAAGAGGCAAATTTCTACAAACAAAACAACTAACCTAAAGGGACTATATAAGATTAAGCATACTAATGAATTGTTCTTCCTGTACACAGACTTTTCCCAACACCCTTTAGTAGGACTATGCTAATCATGTTCAACTTAAGGCCAGTCCTTTGACAAACATGTACAGTACATCCTGTGCTCTCACTTCTATTAAGGTCTTGGTTTCAGCAGTTGGTTCCCTCATTACTTATCCTTTTCTATGACTTGCTGCATACTATAGCTCTGAGAACATAATGAAAAAACAAAATCAGTTTTTCCTGCACAGTCACAACATCAATTCTGGTGATCGCAAAATGTGTGGGGATTTCTCCCCATTAGCAAGGAAGCAAATAGGCCTATGTGAATGCTAGCAGAGTACCCTCTAGTTCACTTTAATTCTAATATTGTCTGTCTAACTATTACATGAGTCCTGCATTATGCAGCCAAATGAAGGTGGAGAAGGATACAAAGGTTCTGTTCCTGTGGAATTGGGTTGAATCCCATGAGTTAAGCTCTCTAAAAATTCCTCAAACCCTGACCTTTGAGAGGGGTTCATTGCAAATTCTGTGCTTAGGCGTCCGTTGGAGTACGGACACTATGTAGAAATGTGATTGGATGAAAGCATGTGACTTAATGCTAATAGACTGAGGAAGCACGGTAAACAGCAAGGCTTGTGTAATGGCTCTTCCTCTCTGGACAACAGTCCTTCAACTCAAAATGGAACAAGCCCACTTCTGAAATAGGAATATTATTAGATAAGTAAAGTCAGAATTGCTTTGTGGACAGCTGTAAGACAGAAGGCAAAGGGAGATTAAAAATATATTTCTTATTTTTCTGGCAGATGAGAGCAATGCAGAAAAATCAAAGAGAACTTCACTTTCTGAGACCTAAAGCGTCCCAGAATTTTAAGAAAAGAAGCCTTTTTTAAAAAAATCTATACTACAAGTACTTGCTGCTATCCAAATTTCAACACTTTGGATTATACTACTTCTGTCTTCTTTAGTTTACTGATTAATTTTTCTTTTTATGGAAAATTAAAACGTCAGATGAATGAAAAATATTGTCTGTTACAAAATTAAGGATTTATTAGAAATACATTTCTAGCATCTCTAGTTGAATATGTAGACCTCACACATGACAGTAAATGAATATGATATACATTATATCATCAATAGTCCGGTTTTGATGTAACAAGAGTACATTTTCTATCTATAAGATATTCTTCATTTCATAAAAATTTAACAACAAGAAAGAAAAGAAGCCTTTGCCTTTATTGCTCTGAAGCTGTTCCAAAGCTGCTTCAGGAGCCAGGGACAAAAGGTCAAATACTTTAACTTTATTTTTCTAGTCATTTAGGAATACTTAGAAAATAACAAAGGCTATGGGACTTATGAGCCAGAATCTATGGATGAAAGCCAAATAAACACATGCGCGCACTCAAAACACACACACACACACACACACACACACACACACACACACACACACACACACACACACACACACACACACACACACACACACACACACACACACACACACACACACACACCTTAATATCACAATAGCATTTAAGCACATTGTTATTTTGTCCATAGCAAATAAAAATTTTCCCATATTACTTGGAACTGTTTCTTCTACTCCTTTTATTTCTCAGTCTCCCTCAGAACCTCTTCCACCCCCCAAAAAACAAAACAAGACCCCCTCCCCCCGCAAAAAAAACCCTTACTTCCAAAGTTGACAGTGACAAGAAGCTAAGAAGATGGCTGGTTCTGGTTTGGGATTTTTCTCTTCATAACTCTTGTGATTGGCTTCCCTTTGTTTGTTCCTTTCATTCTCCTCTGACTGGTCCTTTATCTTCCCAACTGCTAAATATTAGGGATATTTTCAGGAATCAATCCAGACTCTAATATACACTCTCACAAAGTTTCATACAATTTTTCATTATTTTAGATATTGTGTATATGCTGCTGTTTACTAAATGTATTCCGCATCCTAAGCAACACCATTCTAGACTCAGATATTACAAGCACCCCAAATACAACATGTATAAAATTGAAGTACTAATTCATCATCCAGAAACTTCTTTCCTTTGATTTTTTTTCCATCCTAAGAATAATAGTTTTTTAATTATAATTGCTTATGATGAAAACTTTGCAGTCTTCCTTCAATTTTTCTCTGCCACAACTCTCACAGGTCTGTCAGCAAATATTCCAGAAAGTCCATTTTACTTTACATCTGGAGATTTACAATAATCTCCATGTCTCTACCATTGGCTCCTAATACCTAATTCTTCATAAGAGTAGCCAGCATGGTTCTTTTGAGATGTAAGTTAGATCCTTTTTTTTCCTCTTTTCAAAACTTTCCAGTGGCTTCTTTACATTGAACTCAAAAGGCACAATTCCTCAGTTTATTTGGCCTCCACTAACCTGTCTGACCTCATGTCCTCTGACTTTCCCTTTTTCTCTTGCACTCCAGTATTGAGGTGCTTAGGGTATTTATTGATATAGTTGTATGATATCTACTCTTATTTTTTGCCTTCTAGTCTAGCTTTTCATATTTCTTTTTTATCTGTTTGTTGCTTTTTTTGGAAACAGTGTCTTACGTACATAGCCCAGGCTAGTCTCAAACCTGTGATCCTCCTGTCTCAGCCTCCCAAGTGGTGGATTACATGTTTGCACTACCATGTCAGACGTCCATTTCTTTTTCTCTTCTTCCTTGCCCTTTCTTTTTTTTTTTTGTGGGTCGTGGGGCTTGAACTCTGGGCCTGGGCATTGTCCCTCAGCTCTTCAGCTCAAGGCGAGCGCTCTACCACTTGAGCTACAGCACCACTTCCGGTTTTCTGGTGGTTTTATTGGAGATAGGAGTCTCACGGTCTCTCCTGCCTGGGCTGGCTTTGAACCGCTATCCTCAGATCTCAGCCTCCTGATCCTTGCCCTTTCTTGGATCATTTCCTCCTCCACTCTCATTTTATTCCTGTACTGTTTTAGAAATTACACACTCTTTTTCTCTTCTTTTAGTGTTATGGTATTAATTCTCATATGCAGATTTAAATTTTAATATATAAAATCCATGCATCTAAAGTAAGTGATGATCTTGCATTGCTTGAACTATACTTGCTTATCCCTTTTATGACATGGCTACTGAAGAATTTAATCTGTTCTTGTTTTATTTAAAATTTCACAGGAAGGGGGCTGGGAAGTTGGCTCAGTGGTAGAGTTCTTGCCTTGCATACATGAGGCCCTGGGTTCAATTCCTCAGTACCGCATAAGCAGTAAAAGCCTGAAATGGCTCTGTGGCTCAAGTGGTAGAATGCTAACCTTGAGCTGAAGAGCTGAAGGACAGCGGCCAGGCCATTTATTCCCTAAATTGGACAACTATTTTTGCACACTTTCTTTTTCTACTTTCATTTTCCTCTCTCCCTTTTTTTAACCTTTTCCCTTACACCCTCTGCTATATTGATGTCATACAGAATTTTGAAGATAGATTGTTATATACCCTTGAGGCCAGACCAGGAAAAAAGGCAGAAAGATCTTGTATCGAAAAGACAAAATAAAAGCACAGGGACAAAACAAAAGATTTTTAAGTATTCTTTTTTATTTCTTTTCAAATAAAACTCTAGTCTTGATTAGTCAAGCAGTCAGCAGGCAGCACAGGAAAGCAGGGAAGTAGAGTCTTGTGTCAGGTGGAAATATGTAAAAGCAAATGCTGCCCTTTTTATTTACATATTTATATTTTTATTTACATTTTATTGTAAAGGTGATGTACAGAGGGGTTACAGTTACATAAGTCAAGTAATTCATCCATTGCTTTTTTTCCCTTCTAACTCCCTCTCCCCCCAAGTTGTAAAGTTCATCTTCAGCATAGTGTATAGTGAATATCACTATTGAATTCGTTCACACTTTGTCCTGCTATTTCTGTGATTCTCTTTACATCTATATCTTTTCCCTTTCAATAATCAATGTTTTAAAATAACTAGTTCTTCTAAAATTTTCTTCTCCTTGCCAAAGCTGAGCTGATCTTGAACATTATTTTTTGTGCTCATGGACATTGTATTCATGGCATTGGCCATTGGCTTTTTGTCTTGCAATGAAGATAAGACAAGCAGTGGTCCACTAAGGATTGTGAAAAGAACCCAGATAAAAAGTTCTTATCTTCACATCTGCAGTTTCTGCTTCTCTCCTCTTGGAATCCTTTGTCTCATATGAATGTTCTCACAGTTTGTAGATCTGTTAATCTCACTTGAACTTCAGTATCTTGGTGGTGGTGGTGTGTGTGCCTGCTTGCTTGCTAGTACTGTGACTTGAACTCAGGGTCTGGGTGCTGCCCCTTATGTTGTTGGTTGGTACTCTATCACTTAAGACATAGCTACACTTCTAGCTTTTTGGTGGTTAATTGGATATAAGAGTCTTACAGCCTCTCCTTCCTTAACTGGATTCTGGCTTCAAAACATTATTCTCAGATCTGGGTAGCTCGGATAACAGGTGTGAGCCACTGCCATCTGGCTGAACTTTACCATCTTTAGGTTCGTTTTTGTGACAGGATGTCCACACCTTCTGTTCACTTTATGAATATGTCTTTATAGTATTATTACTATAATTCAAATGCGACTGATAAGTTTTAGAGGTTATTCAACAATATCTTACTAATATAGGAATGTTCATCCTAAGAATCAAAGTAGGGAGTCTTCTTTACTCTGTTCTGCAAGTGAAACAGGAAGCGGTTTTTCCTTACTTGCCAGTTTTTTCCTACTTCACTTGTTTTACTAAAATCTGTGTTAAACTTTAAAACAAAGAATTAAAGTAGAACATATTATTGACTTTATTTCCTTCTTTCCCTTGGATATGTCCAGTTCTGATAGTATCAGCAGTGATGAGGAGGAACTCAGAACTTTCGGAAGCAGTGACAGTGAAAGCAGCACTCCGGAGAACGTGGGACCTCCTCTCATAATGGATGAAAATAGCTGGTTCAACAAGTGTAAGAGAGTGAGACAAAAGTATCAACTTACCCTTGAACAGAAGGTATTTATTGTTTGTTAAAACTCAATTTGTTGTAGTTTGTACTATCATTATCAAAATATTCTTTAACTAAAAGAAAAGATATTAATCATTGACATTTCCCTTTTGTTTCTGAAATGACTTCTTAAGTAAAAATATTCAAAGTAAGCTGGGTGCCAGTGACATAAGCCTGTAATCCTAGTTACTCAGGAGTTTGAGATTTGAGGATTGTGTTTCAAATGCAGCCTGGGCATGAGATTCTGTGAGGCCCTTATCTCCAGTTAATCACTAGAAGTAGAGCTATGGCTCAAGTGATAGAGCTCTAGCCTTGAGCACAAAAGCTTAGGGATAGTGCTCAGCTTGAATTCAACACCACACACACACACACACACACACACACACACACACACACACACACTACAATTCCTTGCCTATGAGACCCTTCAACATAGGATACTCTTATACCTTATCAGACTACACATTGGGAGGGCAGGGACGGTAAGGGGAAACGAAGAGGAGGTACCAATGCTTGATAAGAAATGTACTCATTACCTTGCTCATGTAATTGTAACCTCTCTGTACGGTATTTTCACAATAAAAAAACGTAACTACAGAAAGCACAATACTTGATAAGAAATGTACTCATTACCTTGCTCATGTAATTGTAACCCCTCTGTACCGTATTTTCACAATAAAAAAACGTAACTACAGAAAGCGCATTTCAAACAGGACACTTGGAAATGTAAAACTCTAAGTCATCTAAAAATTTCATTGGGAGCCTAATAAACAGACTAGATAAAGCAAAAGAGAGACTATAAGAGCTCAAAGACAAAGTTGGTGAATTACTAGATTCAAGTAAAAGACAACAGGATAGCAGGTTTAAAAAAAAACAAATTGTTTATTGTCTGCAAGAAACTAACTTCATTGGCAAAAACATGTGCATACTGAAAGTGAAAAAAATGGAAAACAAACAGAAAACCCCAAAAGCAGGTATATCTGCCATAATCACTGATATAATCAGACTTTAACCTGAGGTCGTTTAAAATAGAGAAAAGGCTACTACAATTAAGGAAGTAATTCATCAAGTAATTATATGACTATAAATATATATATATATATATATATATATATATATATATATGCATCAAAAGAGAAACATCCAGTTTTATAAAACAAATTCTACTGCACATAAAACAAGAAATGGACCCTAATATAACAGCAATGGGTGATTTCAACTTTTACTCTATAAATAGAGCCTCCAGGGCTGGGGTTAGGTGGCTCAGTGATAGAGTGCTTGCCTTGCATTCATGAGGCCCTGGGTTCAATTCCTCAGCACCACTTAAGTAGAAAAAGCAGGAAATGGTGCTATGGCTCAAGTGGTAGAGTGCTAGCCTTGAGCTGAAGAGCTGAGGGATAGCTCCTAGACCCCACAACTGACAAAGAAAGAAAGAATAGACCTTCCAGACAAAAATATCAACAATGAAATATCAAAGTTGTTACGCTATAGATGAGATGGACTTAACAGACATATACAGAATATTCATATAATTTCAGAATACACATTGCTTTCATTAAATACGTGGAAAGTCTTAGAAATTAGATTATATATGAAACTGTAAAGCAAGTCTTTAATTTAAAAAAAAACTATAAAAATTTCTGTTATTTTCATAATATTTTACTTCCAGGGTTATCTTGAAGAACTCTTACGACTTCGAGAAAACCAACTGTCTGAATCTGTTTCCCAGAATAAAATACTACTTCAAAGGATTGAAGATTCTGATCTGGCTCATAAATTGGAGAAAGAACAACTAGAATATATAATTGTGGAGCTTCAAGATCAGCTGTAAGTGAAATCACTTAGAAAAATGTGGCAATATGTAAACATAAAGACAAAGTGTTATTGCTGTAGTCTTCAAATTCTTAGCAATCTGGTTGACTTCATTAAATCTTGTTTTTTAAACATTTAATTTTTTTCTTATTACAGAAGTAATCCATGTTTATTATAACTAGGTGCCAGTGGCTCATGCCTGTAAGCCTATGTATTCAGGAGGCTGAGATCTAAAGGATTATGGTTTACTGACAGCCTGGTCAGAAAAGTCTGCAAGACTCCATCTCCGAAATAACCAGCAGTCAGCCAGGATAGAGACATGGCTCATGTGGTAGAGTACCAGCTGAGCAAGCATAAAGTCTTGAGTTCAAGCCCTGGTACTTTGAGATAAAAAATATAGAAGATAAAATTTTAAATTAAATTCTTAGTAAGGAATAAAAATAGTATTATTTAGGAATTTATATCCTTGTGAGAAGAGTAATGTCCATATATTGTTTCTTCTGTCTTTTTCTAATGTAAGAGAGCTTTTCCTGTGGTGCCTCTGTTATTAAGGTCAGATGGATATTCCATAGCTCCTCACTTCTGCTAAGCAGGGACAAAAACATCAAGAGCCAAATAAAGATTTCTGGTTATTTATGAGTAAAAGATTAAGGAGAAAAGTTTGGTTTTTTTTTGAAAGTAATGCTTCCAATTTAAGTGTTTTTAATACTAAAAATAAGAAAAACCAGTCTCAATGAACTGATATGACAATATATGCTTGTAATCTCAAATCTGAAAAGCTTGAGGTCAGACCGTTTCAAAAAAACTCAACAGTTGACCAGGTTTCCGGTGGTTCACATTTGTAATCCTAGTTAATCAGTATGCTGAGATTTCAAGGATTTAGGTTTGAAGCCAACCTGGGCAGAAAAAGTCATCAAGGCTCTATCTCTAATGAACTAACACAGTCTCAGATTGTAAGCATGGCTGAAATGGTGGAGCACCCTCAATAAGTAAGCAATCTGAGCAAAAGCCTAAGGTTCTGAGTTCAAGCCCTAGTACTTACACACACACACACACACACACACCAGCCAAACCTGGTGATTTATATCAGTAATCCCAGAAGAAGTGAGAGTAGGAGGAGTTAACAACTGGAACATAGCTCAAGTCCTAAAGCACTAGCCAACTGCAAGGCCCTGAGTTCAATCTTTAATATTGTAATCTAAAATTCAGTTGTTATTTTATCAGAGGACATTTTCATTTGAATAATTAATTTATATGGATTAATTTATTTTTGTTAAAGTAACAAGGCTCAGACTTTTTAATTTGAGAAAATGATGCATCCCAATTACAGCTTTATCATACAGTGTCAGTGATACTATAAGAGTCTCAGGAACTTTATAGTTCTTTTTAATGTCTTCAAAACATTAAAACAATATTAATAGAGCAGAAAATAGAAAACATGACTATTGATGAAAACTAGAATATTGCCTTGAGTTTAAATGTTAAAGACATATAATATGAATGTGATTTCTACATTGATAAAATTGCCTCACAAAATCCTTTCCTATTAAAGGATACTGAACAGGAAGATAAGATAAAAATGCTTTATTAATAAGTGCTAAAAACTCACTACTTCATGAAGATTAGCTTTAAGATGCAGAATAGTGTATTTTCAGTTGCAAAGAGAATAAACATTTTTCTCCCTGTATCACTGAGTTTTTTTACTAGTAGTTATGGAAGTATACAATCAAAGGTTGGCATTGGAATTCCCCTTTTTCATCCTGAGAAAATAAAAGCATCCCCGATAATATTAAAAGATCTGAAAAAGAGTATTAAGAGGGTCAATAACAAAATAAGAAAAAGAATATTGAGGTGTAGAGTATAGAGCATGTAATGTTTTCTTCTATATTGTGTTGCTTATGTTTTCCTGGTCACAAATGTGATGTCACTCATCTGGTTCTTTGTATATTTCTTAATTGTTACATGTATTTACTGTTATTCTTGGATGTGTCTTAAAACTCAAAATATGCACATTTTATAATTTTGTAACAGTACCAAAATTATGGGATAAGCTAAGTATCTGTTACAAATCAAGACTGTCTTCAGGTAATAATTCTACCTTTGCCTCTTATAGGTTAGTCATAATTAATGTCTTGATGCCTCTGCCTCTTCATCTATGAAATAGAGATAATATTTACCTATTTATCATTAATATTAAGTGATTTTGGGTATAATGTGTAAAGGAAAGACAACATTCAAAGAAGGTTTATTCCTCTGAAGGTTTATTCCTCGCCTTAATAAATGCAGTCACAAAGTTAAGTGGAAAATTAAAAATGAGCTGAGCACAAAAGTGTGTCACTTACAATCTTAGCTACCTCAGAGGCTAAGATTTGAGGATCAAAATTTGAAGTCAGTTCAGGAAGACACATTTGTGAGACTCTTATCTCCAATTAACCAGCAGAAAGTTGGAAGTACTACTCAAATGCCAGCTATGAACAAGAGCAAAAGGCTCTGAGCCAAGCCCCAGTACTGGTACAAAATAAAAGTTTGACACTAGTGGCTCACACCTGAAATCCAGCTACCCAGGAGGCTCAGATATAAGAACCAAAGTTCAAAGCCAGCCCCTATAGGAAACTGTTAGAATCTTAGCACCAGTTAACTTTTGAAAAATAGAAAAAAAGCTGAATATGGAGCTTTTGGCTCAAGTGGTATGGTAGAGTGCTAACCTTGAGCATAGAAGCTCAGGGACAGTGCTCAGGCCCTGAATTCAAGCCCTAGGACCAGCAAACACACACACACATGCACACACACACACACACACACACACACACACACAAATTGAAGTAAAGAAGGGATAAGAAGGGAAGGAAGGAAGGGAGGAAGGAAGGGAGGGAGGGAGGGAGGGAGAAAAATTGGAAGTGTTTCCTTTCTAATATTTATTATTGAAAAGGCGATGTACACAGGGATTACAATTACAAAAGTCAGGTAATGAGTACATTTCTTCTTGAACACTGTCATCTCTTCCCTTGTTTTCTCCCATTTTTCCCTCCCAACCCCTCGCTGCAGGTTGTATAGTTCATTTTCAGCATAGTGTCTGGTGAATATCACTGCTGCATTTGTTTACCCTTTTCCCCACGAATTTTGTGCTCTCCCTTACTTTCCCACAAACAAATAATGTTACATACAAATCTACAGAAAATGCAAAGAGCAAAAGAAGAGGAAAAACAAAAAACAAAATCAAAAACCTCTTGTTTCCATTTCTTGGAGTTCATTTTGATAAATATCATTTTATATGCATATTTGCACATAGCTATTGAGCCTTTGTAATCCTTTCCTAAGAATATTCTCCTTTGTGTATGAATGTCTAGAGCCCTGTATAATTTATCATGTCCAAGTGTATTTTTTGTCTTTTACTGTGCACTCTGTTTACTTGTAGATTTATAGGCACATTCTAGTTATGACAGATGAGAGAAACCATGCAACCTATATCTCCCTGGGTTTGGCTTACTTCACTTAATATAATTTTTTCCAAGTCTTTCCATCTCCTTACAAATGGCACAATATCATTCTTTCTGATGGAAGAGTAGATTTCCATTGTGTATGTATGCCACATTTTTTTTGATCCATTCATCCATTGAGGGGCATCTGGGCTGATTCTATATCTTGTCTATGGTAAACAGTGTTTCAGTGAACATGGTTGTGCTGGTAGCTTTAATGTGGCCTTGTTTGTAGTCTATTGGATAAATGCCTAGTCATGGAACTGCTGGGTCATAGGGGAGCTCTATGTTTAGTTTTTGAGGAACCTCTATCTGTTTTCCAGAGTGGTTGAACAAGTTAACATTCCTACCAACAATGTAGTAAAGTTCCCTTTTGGTCACATCCCTATCAGCATCTGTTATTATTACTTTTCTTGATAATGGCCATTCTAAGTGAGGTGAAGTGGAATCTCAATGTACTTTTTTTTTTTTTTTGTCGGTCGTGGGGCTTGAACTCTGGGCCTGGGCGCTGTCCCTCAGCTCTTCAGTTCAAGGCGAGAGCTCTACCACTTGAGCTACAGCACCACTTCCGGTTTTCTGGTGGTTTATTGGAGATAGGAGTCTCACGGTCTCTCCTGCCCGGACTGGCTTTGAACCGCGATCCTCAGATCTCAGCCTCCTGAGTAGCTAGGATTACAGACGTGAGCCACCAGCGCCCGGCTCAATGTACTTTTGATTTGCATTTCTTTTATGGCCAGAGATACTGAACATCTCTTCATGTGTCTATTGACTATTCTTACTTTTTCTGAGAAGTTTCTTAGTCTTTCACCCATTTATTAATTGGGTTGTTGATTCTTTGAGGATTTATTTTTAGGGGGCTTAATTGTTTGAGCTCTAAGTATATTTCAGATATGAGACCCTTACCTGATGTATAGCTACTAAAGATCTTCTCCTATTCTGTAGGCTATTTATCTTGCTAGCGAGGTCTTTGGTAGTTTTATACAATCCCATTCATATAGTCTTTCTTTGATTTGTTGTGATTCTGGATCTTCACTTAAGAAGTTTGCCCCATGCCGAGGAACCTTACTTAGTGTTTCTGCTACTCCTTCCTGTGCTATTTTCATGATATATGGACTTACAATGAGGTATTTGATCCCTTTGGAATTGATTTTGGTGCAAGGTGATATATAAGAATTGAGCTTCAGTTTTCTGCACATGTATAGCCAATTCTGCCAGCACCATTTGTTGAAGAGTCAGTCTTTCTTCCCTTCTTTGTTTTTACTCCCTTATTAAATATTAGGTGGCTATACTTCTATGAGTTCATTTCTGGGCCTTCTATTCCATATTATTATTATTATTCCATATGAGTTTTTTTATTGCTTTCTCTATATGTTGAAGAATGTTGTTGTAATTTTGATGGGTATTTCATTGAATTTGTAAATTCTTTGGGCAGAGTTGCCATTTTCACAATGTTAATTCTTCCAATCCATGAGCATGGAAGGTTTTTTCATTTCTTCAAATCTGCTTTAATTCCTTTTTGCATATTTTTAAAGTTTTCAT